TGTTGTGACAGGGTTGGAGCGGAAGATGGGTCCTCGTCGGGAAACATTCAGAACCTCTTGTTCCTCCTCAATGGCCTCTGGGTGAGTGTACAGACACTCAGGCCTTCAGTTCTCCCTCTCCCAAGCAGGGGCCACTTCTCCAAGGTTCCAGCCTTACCTCCAAATAAAATACAAGCCTGGCTTTTCCAGGAGAAAACAGCTGTTCCCACGAAGTTTGCAGGGCTTCATTCCGATTACAGACACAGCTGGACCGCAGCTCACACGCCAACATGGAACTAACTTTCACTTTACTCGCATTCTCAGGAAAATTGATGATTTTCTGCCATTTTATTACATTTGATGATAATTTAAAAGGCAGGTTTAGTGCATCCATAAAACTGACTCTGCAACAAGCTTCTCATGTGAGAAAAATATATTTGGCTGGGGCCTATTGTTTGGAGTTGTAAAACAGAAGCCAGGAAGGGCTTGCCAAAGGAGCATCCTTTGGCTCCAGAACCCCGGCCCATCCTTGCCCCACTTGTGGACACTACCTAGTGAGGCTGGCCTGGGTCTTTGTCCTGCACATGCCCACCTCAGTCAGACTGAGTAGGATGATCTCTGCCTCCATCCCCGACAATGCTCATTGACCATTGACGCTAGGGATCTTGACCCAAGTTCTGGGGCAGGCATGCACGAAACACACTGCTGGGGCCCTCCAAGGGCAATGCTGGCTTCCAAAGGGAATTTATAGCCGGCTAATCAAAGCTTAATTACAGCAGCTCAGCAGGCTCCAGCAGGAACTCAGGCCGAAATGGTTTTGCTAAGAAACTTTTTATGAGCTTAAGCAGAAGCAGCAAATTAGCAGGAATGAGAGGAAAATCATCCTGCCTTAACCATGTCCCTGAGCTGGGAATCTGCAGCGTCACCCTGCAGAGTGCGGCTCTGGGCTTCGGGAGAGGTGAAGGTGGGGGTGTGGGCGCAGCCTGGGTGTGCTCCCCTATAGACCACGGGCTGGAACTGCATGATGTATGCTCCACCTCGCCCCACCTCCACCGTGCTAAGGACCAGGAGGCAGCCTCACCTCTCTTCTCACCTCTCACCTCTTCTCCATCTCCGCAGCCCACCACATGGCTAAAGGACATCACACAACCTCGTGCAAGCATGTGGTCTGCAGAGTCTCCTCATTCTTAGACATCTCCCTCATCTGAATACTCAACTCCTAAGTGCATCTGGTCCATAAACTCTCCCACCTATCCCCCTCCGTATTTTAAAATTACTCTCCTCTTCACCAATCTGCAATCTGCCACTCAACTAACTCCTTATCTCTCGTTCAGCCAAGGACCTGCCTTCCAATTCCCCTCCCAATCCCCTGCAAAAAACAGCTTCCAAGTGTTATCAGGAATGTCTCCAAATCCCACTCCTCTATAATTTTGCATACACATTTTCCTGCATGTACATCCACTTTCTTCCTCCCTCATTTCTCTGAGGAAAAGCAATTTTGTAGCCACTAAGAGCCACACAAAACCTGGGTTTGAATCTTGTCACTGTCACTAACTAAAACGTACTTTCTTAGGCAGATAATGTAGCCTCTCTGAGCCTCAGTGTCCTTATCTGCAAAATGGGAATAAGAATATCAATAATATGAGGTGGCTGCAAGCCATTCCATTAGCTAATCTATGTGCAGGTAAACACCACACCTGCACATTGTAACACTCAAGAAATGATAGTTATTATATTTAATTGTAAAATGGAAAGCAGAAATTCATAGAGTTTACAGATGCCCCCTATAAAGAGGATCTGGGTTCTAGAAAGGTAAATGAGAATTTCCAGATCCCTATGCCTATTATCACTAGTCACATCCAAAAGGAGCTGGCTCTGCAGCCAGCCTGGGAAGAGGGTACCCCAAGGGAGAGATTGCATGAGGCCAGCATGGAGGAAGAATACACAGAATGCTGGGGCTTTGGGACAGCAGGGAGCCTAGGGCTAGCCAGGACAGGAGCTTCCTGCAGAGACTGGAAGACAGAGCAGAACTCCCAGGGGTACAGAGCAGGCGTGGGGGTGTATGGGGCTGATTTCAATTGTCAGTGAAAGCAGGCTTCTGGAATTCATCATTTTATTTCACAAATTAAGAAAGGACCGAAACATGCTTTGTGCTGTTCTAGCCCATGTAGATGCTTTCTTTCAACTTTATGAACTTCTCTAACTATGAATAAAACCACTCTGGCATGACAGGCGCCTGTATTATTCTGTGCGGATTCCTTATTCCTAATGTCATCAATTACAATAATCAGATCACTGTAACACCGGTTGGAGCAGAGCCGTTGCTGAGGGGCAGGCATGCGAGACGGAGGCTGTTCAGAACCGCTCGCTTGTGTTTCTAAGGCACGGTAAGACGGCTGGAAACGGGATTGCCCTTAAGTTTTAAATTACCTGCAATCATTAAAATAATCTAGTTCATATTCATAAAGCTGTGATTATATTTTACATACCCAGTAAACACTTTATGAGAAAAACCCATAATTCTGCCGTGAAATAGAGAGTCTTGATCTGGTGGAGTCAAAATGTGAAGACGTGTTGGCGTGAAATCAGCCCGAAACACTGAGGTGGGGGTTGAACACTGACCATGGAACATGCTCCCTGTCTCTCTGGTGGGCAGTGGGGTGAGTTTTTGAAAGGTTCTTAGACAGATGAGGAACAGAGGAGACAAGGGGGAAGGGAAAAGAGCCGAATTCCAGCGCTTCCAGAGTTTTTGGAGGCCCGTAGATATCTCTTGGCTACCGCTATCCATCCCACCGGACACCAGCAATGAAAGGTCATGGTGCCCTAAGCCCAGGGCCATCCTGTGCACCCTGGGACCCCTGGAGGAAGAATGCCTCATTAGATAGATGGTTAAATTGAGTCTCAGAGAGGTTAAGTGATTTTCCTAAGATTGCACAGTAAGTGGGGAAGTCAGACACTACCCCCAGGTCTGTGTGACTCCAATGTGGTGTGTGACACTCCGCATTTGTTGAGGCATCTTGTCCAAGGACATATGGTAATGAATGGCAGACAGGTGCCCTCCTGGCTGCGTGACATGTTGGGCCTCACCACCCAGCCTCTTCCAGATTCAGGTGTTTCTTATTGTGCCATTCAGTTGCTTTTTATTGTGACATGATCTGGTCACCCTCAGCATTCAGTGGAGTGTCCCAGGTGAAGCATCAAGGGCATCAGCCACTGGACACTAAGTCTGAAGCCAAGCATTTTGCAAAAACCCTGGCTTTTAAAAAATCATCCATTTCCTTTTTTAGCAAGATGCATTTTTGACACTATGAGGCTAATGAAAGCCCAGTATAGCATCCCCCTCTTCCCACCAAAATCAGACAAATGGAGATCAAAATTCCAGTTTTGGTGCATAGGAGAACATGAAACCTCCTCTCGGAACTGCAGATCGGCCTTGCCCAGGCAGAGCCTGCTTCCCTAGTGGAAAAAGAGAGGATGCATGGAACCTTTCTGCAGGCAGGCAGAACCCGGAGAGAGGAGGGGCAGGAGCTGAGCTGCTCAGTGCCTTTGGCCAAGCCCACCAATCAAAGGAGCTCCTCCTTTTCCCAAGGGGTGGTGGGGTGAGGAGTGACGAGCTAGATCTTGGGGGTATTCCGGGGAAAATGTTTCTCTCTGGAAACCAGAGCAGTGGCAAATGATCACTCTTCCTGCCCCACAAACAATACAGACTCTTTAGTTACAGAGAGAAAATCATTTCGAATCCTTTGACTCTTCACTCTTCCCTTTTTCCAGTTTTTTTGGCTGCCTTGCACATTTCAAATGTCTGCATCAGTCATTGGGCACCAAAGCCATTCAGTGCCAGCCGTGGCGGGGGCCTCCCAGGGCTGCTCAGTAACCATCGTGGCCATATCCAATGGCTAGGAGAGTTCCATGGGGGCAGTATCCCATCATTGAAACACCCTCCACTCCTTAGTGATGGGCTGAGGGCTGCTTCCAGATGGGTAGTTACGAATAATTCCACAGTCATCATGGTGGGTATACAGCTATTAGCCTGGCCTCAGCCATTCTTCCCCAGGTGTGCTCTCTACCCAGACCCCCAGTAAGTCCTAGGGTGACTGTGATTGGGAAATATACAAAGGACCCAAGGAAATCCCACCCCCCCAAAGTTATAAAGACAGAGGTGGCTTTTTCAGGTGTGTATTCGTCTGGGACTGTAGCAAATAGTGGGCATTCGTGGGAAGGAGCCAGGGCACCACAGGCATAAAACGACCAGCACTTTAAGTAGCTTCTGCCTGCCTCACTGTAGTTCAAAAGCCACTCAGGGACTCTTCTCGCTCATTAGGTATTGCTCCATACACCTGCAGCCTACTGTGAGATCCAGGGATCCCGGAGTTGGCATCCCACAGCCCCAGAAGGTGGACAGGGCAAGTGACACCTGGTGCTATGGTCTGAGTGAGGATGTCTCTCCAGATTCATGTGTCAAAACTTAATCACCAATGTGATAGTGTTAAGAGGTGGGGCCTTAAGTCCTGAGGGCAGAGCCCTCATGAATGGGATTAAGGCCCTTAGAGAAGAGGCGTCACCCAGCCTCTCTAGTCCCTCCCCTTCTAGTCCACAATGTGGACATGAGAGCACAGAGCTGTCTCCAGAGCAGAGAGCAGCCCTCCCCATTCAACAAGGCCAGCACCTCAGTGTCTCACTCTGTGACGCAGACAGAGCGCAGCCATCGATGGCACGCAGACAGAGCATAGCCACCATCTGGATCGTTGCTGGTCCCTGTGGCAGAGGGAAGGAAAACATGGTGAATCCCTCCTTGGCTCGTAAAGATACACATACCACATCCACTCCTACTTCCCTGACCAAAGTGAGTCATGTGATCACCCCCACCTTCCAGGACTGAGCAAGTTCAAGCCTACTCTGTGCCCAGAGAACTGGAACACAGTTATCTGGTGGGTAACACTGCCAGGCTACCCATCCAGGCCAGCTACCCACCTTGCACCTAGCCCTATGTTGGTACTGGGCAGAGACATGAAACCCAGACTGCCTTCTAGAACTGTGCCGTCCAATGCGGTAGCCAGCTGTGCCTGCTGAGCGCTTGAAACGTGGCTAGTGCAAATTTAAATGTGCTCTGCATATAAGAGCACACACTCGATTTCAAAGACATGGCTTAACAAAAAGAATGTAAAATATCTCATTTGTGCCTTTCCATTTTGATTACATATTGAGATGACATTTGGGATCTATTGGGTTAAGTAAAAGATGTTATTAAACTTAATTGTACCTGTTCTTTTTTTTTTGAGACAGAGTTTCTCTTGTGGCCCAGGCTAGAATGCAATGGCACAAGCTCGACTCACTGCAACCTCTGCCTGGGTTCAAGAATTCTCCTGCTTCGGCCTCCCAAGAAGCTGGGATTACAGGCACACACCACCTCACCTAGCTAACCTTTGTATTTTTAGTAAAGATGGGGTTACACTATGTTGGCCAGACTGGTCTCGAACTCTTGACCCGAGGTGATCCACCTATCTTGGCTTCCCAAAGTGCTGGGATCACAGGCATGAGCCACCGTGCCTGGCCCATGTTCCTTTTTTGACGTAGCTACCAGAAAATTTTAAAATTGCATCTGGGTCTCATATTAGATTTCTATTAGACAGCACTGCTCCGACACCTCTGATCCCAGCCAAGAGTGAGACAGAGCTTTCAGGTGAAATCAAGTGACTGCAGCCTTGAGCCCAGGATCATCGGGGTGGGGTGGGTCCTCTCAGACTCAGCATCTGCCCAGCCATGAATTTCACTCCTTGACAAAAACTTCGTGAGCCCTCCCCGAAGATGAAGCCGCTGCCTCCACCCTGGGCTGGGACCTGATTTTCTGCGCTCCCTCGAGGCCCCCTTGCTGTGTGACACCGGCAAGCCGTGGGGTGTGGCAAGGAGCATCTCTTCCACAGTCTGATGCCCAAGGAGCTGCAGCCAAGAAGGTGCAATCGCCCGCAGAGAAGTGTTAATAAATATTTACCGAGCCCTTTGACTGTGCCAGGGAGAGAACAAATCAGTCCCAGCAGGCGCCGAAACGAGTCTCCTGAGGCTGGCAGCCAGAGGTGCCACCGCACAGGGCCCGGAGCCCACTGACCTCCGGCTGCTTGTAGCTACCCTGAGTGGCCCAGGCAGCCCCATTTACAGAAGCTGTAAAAGAGGACAATCTCTCACTATTGATTTTGTGCCTCTCCCAGCGACCGCCGCCCTGGATAACTCAGGATGTATGGATTTTTCTATAAACCCCAAATTAATATCTGCAGCAGGTGGGAATATACTGCAACCCGATGTGGGGAAGCCTCCTGGCCCCGCTGGGCTGAGGATTGGAGGACACGCGGCCCGTGACTGTCCCTCCCGTGTTGGGGTCCACAGGCTGACCTCCGCTTTTAGCAGTCAGCAGGCTGGGGTCGTGGAGGCTGGCCTGCTGGGCTACCATCCACCCCCGCCATCCCCTAGCTGGGATTCTTGCATTCTCTGTGTTTGAATGAGGCTGTGCACACAGGAGTTGTGACTGCAGGTCACTCCAGGACCTTCCGTTCATGAAGGAGACTCTGCAGTGGCAAGAAAAGAGCAGGGGCTTCGCATTGATTGAACTTTTGTTTTACTCCCAGCCCCACCCCCAACCTGCAGCGTGACTTCAGAAAGTTACTTCACAACTTCTCTGTGCCTCTGTTTCCCTATCAGTAAAATAGGGAAAATATCATATTAACATTATAAGGTTGATGTAGGGATCATTTACTTGTGCAGCAAATGCAAACCAAGATCATTTCACTTGGGTAAGAGCTACGAAAGAAATAAGCAAGGTGACTTTGGTAGGCTCCTTGAGGTAGGGTAGTCAGGGTGTCCCTAAAGAGGTGACATTTGGGCATAGAGCTGAAGGGTGGGAAGGTACCAGCCACACCAAGAGCTGGGGAGGAACATGTCACAAGTGCGGAGGCCCAGAGGTTCATAAAAATAAAGGAAATTTGATCATGGAAATGTACCCAGCACTTCCCCCTGCAGGAGCAGATGCCCCAGGGGCGTGAAGTTCCCACTTTTGCTTTGAGGGGAGGGACCCCTGCTAGGGCAGAGGGTAGGAGTGGGGGATGACAGAAGTGAGAGTCCAGTCTTACAGCTCTCCAGCCCCCATCTTCTGGGTCCTGTCGCAGACCTGCCCGGAGCCCTGTCTCCTGAGCAGGAAGACAGAGAAGCCAGGCGCTGCCCTGGGGGTGGAGAGAGAGAGAGCTCAAGCCAAGAAAACGTTTGCTGCAAATGCTTCTAATCCAATTGTTTTTCATGAAACTGCTAATTAGGTTTGGAAGTCTCCTTGGGGCCTGGCTGAGCCAGTGGGCTGCTTAGCTGCTTCCCAATCCTTCCCCACCCAAAATACCTCCTCTGCTTCCATGAATTAATTCAACCCAAACTTTTAGTGTATACAGAGGGAGGGGACTGTGTTGTGTACATCCGTCTATCATTCATTCACTCACATTTCTATTTAGTGAGCATCTACTATGAACTAGATGTTGCCCAGGTTGCTGGGGATACAGCAGCAAACCACAGAGACAAAACTCCCTCCCTTAGGGAACTTCTGTGCTAGAGGGAGGAGCTAGGCAATGAGCCTGTAAAAATAGGGGTGGTAAGTGTTGAAGGGAAAAACAACCAGGGCAGCAGGATGGGAAATAAGAGAGGAGGGTTGCCATTTTAGATCAGGTGGCTGGGAAAGGCTTCATAGAGGTGATGATATCTCACAAAATCCCCTCTACCATACCACAAGGTACATCAGCTCCCTTTCACAGATGAGGCATGGGAGGGTTGGAGGACAGAAGTGCTCAGCCCATGGTCAGATTGCAGTCAGCCTCAGAGTCAGGGTTTAAGCTCTTAATGAGCGACTGCTCTTTATGGCATCACTGGGTGTCGCATACAGGGAGGGGCAAGAGTGGGGATGCCGCCCTCACCACCCAGCAGCAACAAATATCAGCCAAGTGATATTGTTCTAGTATCATCCCACTTCATAGAGGCAGAAAAGGGTGAAGTCAGTTGTCTGAGGCCAGGCTGCTGGAGAACTGGGCTTCAAACACAGGTCTGTCTGGCACCAGTGCCCAGACTCACACCAGGCTGCCACAGTGGTTGATCCCTGAATTTGGACAAGAGAGGCACTCAGTCCAGGAAGAGGGGCTAGTAGGAACAGAGGAAGGCACAGATCTTAGCCTTCTGGTATGTGTCCTGGGATTCCATCCATCCATCCATCCATCCATCCATCCATCCATCCATCCATATTTCTGCTCATCCTTTTATCGATTCACCCATCCATTCATCCATCTATATTTCTATCCATCTATGATATCCATCTATCAGGGGGCATAGATGAATGGATAGATGAATGGATATCCATTCATCTATATTTTTGTCCAGCCAGCCAACCAGCCAGCCAGTCACACTCCTAGCCACCGACATGTTTGTCTGGCTCTGTACTGGGAACCTGTGCATGGGCCACAAGCAGAAGTCTTCCTTGCATCTGATGGAGCTGGCAATGGGGCCGACACTTTGGCTGACCTCCCTGCCACACTCCATACTCCAGAGTCCACCAGGCAGCCTCACCCACCAGACGCCCATCAGAAGGACATATCCTGGGACTTTTTGTCATTTCCTGTCCAAGATTCCATTATGAGGTGTGGTTGCGAAGTAATAGACAGATAACAGATCAGTCTGAGCCCCGCCGGGCAGCTGCCGGGTTTTTCCCATTAGCTGCAGGGCTTGACGGACAGTAATGGATTTCATACTGATGCTGGAGCCTGCGGCGGATAATTCCATGATAACAGTTTATCACCCACTGACGTGAGGTAATGGGTAATCACCAGGAAGAAAGCAAACCCATCAGGGAGCCCTGGCCTCCGCCCAGCCTGGCCCTACCTTTGTTGTGCCAACTGCCACTTTCCAACTTGAGGGCCAACTCCTGTCTGTGTCCTGAAGGATGGCAGAGCTGCCGGTCTGCTGTGCATGTATGTGTCCAGGCCAAGCATGGCTGGGGTGCCCAAGGACTGTTTGCCAAGAATCTCACAAGAGATTCTTCTTTCTCCTTCAGCAAGCCCCAGCCACCTTCCTTCCCACTGAGACTTGCAGCAAACTTGGGAGAAGAAAAAGTAAGTTTCAAGGACAAAGAAACCCACTATATCCTCTAGTCCAGTCCTCCTAGGCAGAGCCCAGGCTCCAGGTCAGGATATCAGAGGGAGACTTTGGTCACAATGTATGTGTCCCTGGGTGTGTTCTCTGCATCCTAGAAACCACTCATTGGAGACAGGGTGGTGATGACCCCCTACTACTACCTTCCACCATCTTGGGGGTTCCCCTCCCCCCATCTTTATAAACACTTGAGTATGTCATCTGTCCGTCATCAGGGCTTCCCCAATAGACACTGTCTCTTCCAAATCTGCAGGAAAAAATAAAATAAAATGAATGGATACGATTTCCTCCCATTTCAGGATATTCTTTTTAATTTTGTTTTAAACATCCAGGTCCTCCTTGTCTCTCTCTCACTACTCAGAGAGAATAAAATGAATGAGCATCAAATGATCATTAGTGGGAAACTTATGTTGGGCTCTTCTTGCTCAGTTCTTCCTGAGTTTTCCTTGAACTTGTTTCATTGGGCACAACTGAGATTTCCCAGTTTTTTAGAGGGTGTACATCTCATTAAATTGAATATTTATAAGTCGCTTCAACTAAAAATTCCTGAATTATTGGCCTGGCGCGGTGGCTCATACCTATCATTTCACCACTTTGGGAGGCTGAGGCGGGCATCACCTGAGGTCGGGAGTTTGAGACCAGCCTGACCAACATGGAGAAACTCCATCTCTACTAAAACTACAAAGTTAGCAGGGCGTGGTGGCGCATGCCTGTAATCCCAGCTACTCAGGAGGCTGATGCAGGAGAATCACTTGAACCCGGAAGGCGGAGGTTGAGGTGAGCCAAGATCACGCCATTGCACTCCAGCCTGGGCAACAAGAGTGAAACTTCATCTAAAAAAAAAAAAAAAAAAAAAAAAACACTGAATTATAACCACAGTTTCCTTTATAGAATCTGTGTCATTGGAATTTTAGCAATTTCTTTGGGTTCCCAAGACCCTCCCCACAAAGAACCAGCTCTGGGATCTCAGATCTGGGCATGGTGGGGTGGAATGGCCGCAGTCACCAGCTATAGACAAGAAGCTCCCTTCTAAAGACCAAAGGAGGGCCCCAAGAAGAGCTGCCTAGGCTCAGGGGCTGGAGGAGCCTGAGCCCAGGGGATGGGCGCTCACAGGCAGATGGGGCTGCACTGGCCTTGAAAGACAGATAGAAAGGTCGCCTCTTCGTTGAGGGTACCACCAGGGTTTATTCAACATGGATGATGTGCCAGGCACCTTTCTAAGTTCTCTACAAACAGTGCCTGATTTAATCTTCACACCATTCCAGGAAGGGAGTTATAATTATCAATATGACCCCTTTTTCACAGATGAGGAAACTGAGGCACAGTGAAGTTAGCTAACTGCCCAGAGCATACAGCTAGTCAGCAGAGGAGCCAGGACTCAAAGCCTCCAGGCAGTCTGGATCCAGGGCCTGTGTCCTAACCATGACACTGAGCTGCTTCTCCCAACCAGCTGTGACCACTGCAGGCCCTGCTTGGGCATTCACGGCCCTGACCAGACTCTGGGCCCGGCTTCCTCTAACAGGAGAGTTTTTCAGGGAGTGCTGGCTAGAGAGGCCTTGTTCCGCTTCCTAGGGCTGACTGGGTGCTTCCCCACCCAATTCTATATGCGGTGGTGTCTGAAGGTAAGTAGCTTCAGATCAGCCATGGTGGGCTGGCATGCTTACTTAGCTCAGCAAATGCCACAAAGCAGGGCTTTTCCCCCTTTGGAGAGCCGTCTGTTACCTGTTTGCCAGCACAGCATCAGTTCCTGGGGCTGGGGAAATGACAGATGTCTGTGCAGGTCAATGAACACACAAAGGAAGGAGTGGTTAAATCTGTTAGCCCCAAGCTCAGTCAGGGCTATCTTTATTCATCATGGAGGTAAAGCCTGAACCAATCATTCAGTTATGCACTCATTCACTCACTCGTTCATTCAACACATTTATTTAGCACAAAGATGGGCTCGGAAAAGACAGAGACAGATGCAAGAGGAGCCTCAGACATGGGAACAGGCAGTCAGCATGTAGCCTGCTCCGTGGTCTGTGGTGGGTGAAGACAGGGAGGTGCTCCCCTGGGAGGTCCCCACGAGGGCAAGCTGTTTGGGGCAGCACTCCAGGCAGAGAGGGGTTTGATCTCCACACTGCAGACAATGCAGTCTCTTTCCACATAACTCTGATCATGCAGCCCTGCCTGGAGCCTGGAAGGACTTCCCATTGTTCTTGGGTTCAAAGGCTGAGATGTACTGGACTCCGAGGAAGCCCAGCCTTCTGCCCCAGCTGCCTCTTGGCCTCACCATGTGCCCCATTCCCAAACACGGGCCTTCTCCTGGGAGTGCAGGGACACTAGGCTTCCTCATCTCAAGGCAAGTGCCCCATGTTCCCCCTGCTTGGAATGCCATGTGTGCACAGGCACACATGCACACATACACATGTATATGCACACACTAACACACTGTCTGTCTCTCTCAACTCATTCCCTCTCACCTGGCTGACTCTCCGTGGCCCTTCAAATCTCAGCTCAAATGCTTTTTCCTCTGGAGCCTCCTCTGACGTTCTATGTCCCCTGTCCCTGCCAGCCACGCTGAACCTCCACATTCTCCCAACACTGTCCGGTTCTCTACAAACATATTGCAGAGTCTGGGACTGAACATCCATGTGTGTGACTGTTTGGCCAATATCTGTCACCCATTCCTAAACCAAAAGCTCCAGAGGGTGGAGCTTTTGTCCCCTTTGTGCTTAGAACAGTGCCCAGCCAGCAGTAGGTGCTCCATGATCATTCGCCAGATGAATGAGTGAATGAATGCGGTGGCACACACAGGCTCAGGTATGTGAAGGAACTTCAGGTGGCTCCCTGCAGCTGAAACCCGCTGCACAGAGGGGAGAAGCAGAAGAGAAGCTGTGGAAGGAGGGGTTCGGGTCCATCCTTCCTGGGGACAGGCAGAGTGAATCCTCACACCGGCTTCTTGTCCTTTCACTCTTGAGGAACCAGCACAATGGGGAGGAGGGTTGGGACTGACAGACGGACAAGGGCTAGCCCAGCTGCCTTGGAGAGGCCAATAGCTGAGCTGGAAGGAGGCCACCCTCCTCCCCCAACCTGTCCCCACCCCTGCCGGGCTGAGCACCAAGACTAATTAAACTGGATTTGCTCAGCCAGGCCCTAGAGGGGACAGCTCCGAGCACTCCAGATGGGCTCTATTTGTCAATTTGAAAACTAATCTCTGACTATTTAAACAGCAGCTTATCTGGGCCCAGACCAGGATTAGCATTTGGCACCTTGGCTGGAGGGTGGGTGGCACTCCTAGGTGTTAGGAAAGGATTTAAGGGTGAATTTCTTTCTAGAAAAAAGAAGAACTCAGAGCTTCTGCCCGCAGCCCACCAGCCCTGAAGGTAACCCCTGGGACTGACCAATCACTTGCTCAGCAGGGGCCTCTCCCCCAGCCTTCCTCACCTCCTGGGCACACCCCTGTCCTGAAGCCACTGGAGCTGGAAAAAGCAAGAAAAGATTCTTCCCTGGACCTACTGGAAAGGATGCAGGCCTGCAGACACCTCAGTGCTAGTGCTGTGCCTTCTGGAACTGTGAGGGAATAGATTTTTTTTTTTCTTAAGCCAGCAGTTTCGAGTAATTTGAGATGCCAGCTCTAGGAAATGAACTCAAGCCCTCTACTAGTGCTGACCTCAGAACCAGCTAGGGGACAGCCAGGTAAAAGTGATGTCCCAGAAGCAAGCCAAGATGTCTGGGGCTCAGCCTGGGGCTTCTCTCTCCACCCTCTCTTCCTAGGTGAGCTCATCGAGGACCCAGCAGTGCTAGATGCCTTTTGTAAACTGAGGATGCACATATGTGGGTCTCCAGCCATAACCCCATCTCTAAACGTGAAATTCACACATACAACTGCGCTAGACTTTCCACTGGCCCGAGAGGCACCCCAAATTTTATACAACCTTAATGAAACTCAGGCTTCCCCCAAGACCCATCTCCTCTCCCCCTTCCACATATCAGTAAGCGGCACCCAGCAGCTCAGGCCAAAGTCATTGCCTGCTTTCTCTCATGCCCTATATCCAGGTCCTTGGCAAATCCTCCCGGCTTGACCAACCTCGA